TGCATACGGTGTCCTCTCTCAAATTATGCATACATATTTACTCGTATATATACTCATAGGTATCAGTCGGTCGCGACACTTTACGTAAACTGCACTTAAAAGCTCCATGGAATTTTCTACCACTAGACGATACCACCACTATCATCCTATTGCATTTATGGATAATGTAGTACTTTTAGATCAAAGCTTTTATATTGAAGTAAAATGTATTCTTACCTCTTACAACTGTATTTGTCTCTATCTTTCTATCTGTATTTACATATATTTTTTTTTCTTCCACCTTTTTCTTTCTTTGTCTCTTTGCCCCTTATTCTCGACGAGCATATTATCAATTCGCTTTGCCAAGCTTTTCATACTATCCAATAATGCGATTTTAATGATCATTTCATCAATGATTAATGCATTAACAATCGGTTACGAAAAATGATCTTCTTTCATGAAAAATCTTCTTTCATATTTTGTGTATCTTATAATAAATCTTACACAAACGGAATTTTCCTTTTTTTTTAACGATAAAATTTGTTTATCGCAATACCAAAATTAATTCTATCTGTTAATGCATTAAAATACTGATCTTTATAACGTTTCCTCTCTTTTTCTATTTCTCTCTCTCTCTCTTTCTATATTTCTATTTTCTTCTCTCTTTCTTTTATCTTTCTCTCTATCTCACTTTCTCGTTTCTATTTCTTTTATTTCGAATAGTATAGTTTTACGCGGGTATTCGCGCATAAGAAGAGAGCAAACATCGAAGCATAGAAAACGGATCGATCGATAATCGTTTATCGTCATCGTCGCGTTACCAAAGACAAGCGCCATTTTCCGAGCATTTTAAAGCTTCTCGTCTTACGATAACGGATAGTAGAATAAGCATAAAAAAATATCCATCAGTGTCCACATCAATTTTCCCAACCATTAAGTAGCTCCGGCTAGTATTTCAACCCTATTCTCTAACTCACACATATATACATTATAGATACATGTATACATATTTACATAGATATAATATACAAGGTGTAACCTTTAAAAGCAAAAAAATAATACATGGATTCATTTAATGAAACAAATTTTTTATTTGCTTTTTACCATTCGAACAGGAAAAAAAATTAAATTTTTATCATACAACGTTTTTTTCATAGAAAGAAAAATTTTTCTATTTTTCATAGGCAAATTGCAACATTGCGAATTAAAGGTAACACTCTGTATATGTATATATATGTAGAATCGTGTTCGTATCGAAACATGGTGAGTATTGTACAGTGTTCAGCAATTTCTAGGAATCCGTGCAACGAACGAATTGAAACATACACCCACACATATACACAAATATTATACTCTATAGATTTATACAAGGTAAGAATCATTAGTGTGTTGTGTGTCTCCTTTCCAGGTTATTTTTTTTTTTTTTTGTTATCCATCCCCCAGTTTATCAAGACCGGTCCATTTTTTGTTGTTGTGATAGTACACGAATACAATAGTAGAATATAATAAACTTATACGACCATGTATATATATATATGTGTGTGTGTAATACATAGAACATATACAGAAGCATACATACAAACATATATATTACAACACATTTAAAGAGAGAGACACGCAGACACATTTATACACACACGTATCATACCAATGAACATATGAAGAAAAAAAATATATATACAAACATATATAAGAGGGGAGGCATAAGCTCCGCTGTAAATTGTGAGCATACATAGATGACCTACTTTGTTTTTAACGATCCGTAGTGGCATATTCCTTTCCAGTTATGATTTCTATTTACAGGCAATTTTTGCTAGTAGCATACCTGAGATAATAGAGCTCGTAGGGAGTAGGTCCAAGTACAGCGGCGAGTACAAGCGGGAACATGGAAAGAGGTATAATTATTTAATAAAAGTACAATATCCTCCGCATCTTATTCTATCCTTCTCTCGATTACTTTTCTATTATATCTTTCATATTCTTTCTTTTTTTCCTTCTTTCTTTCTTCCCTTCTTTCTTTCTTTCTCTAATTTATTTATTTATTTATTTATTTATTTATTTATTTAACATTTTTTTCCTTTAAATATTTTATATATCCCATTTATAATAAATTTTATTCTTTCTTTTTCTATTATGTATATTTTTTCGCTATTACTTTTTCTTCCAGTACGTATTTATAGATATATATATCTCTTTCACTCTCTCTCTCTCTCTCTCTCTCTCTCTC